TTATTTTCAACATTTTTTAACGCAAATCAATCCTAAGAGCATCACATAAGCGCGCCCTGCATGAAAGTAAATTTAATAATTTCCTGTTCTCGTAACGAATGCCTTCATATTTTAAGAAACAATCCGGTAAAGTTTTTGTATAGACTACGTGATGTAGGGGACATGGGGAGAGCATTAATTCGAGCGCAATTTTAATGGTGTAGGCCATCTTTTAAAATAACCATTTGGTGGCAAAGTGAAGTATAAGAGGAGATAGAGAGAGTGAATTGTGATTTCACTTACACTTTGAAATTCAAGAATAGTATGAATGAACGTATGAACGCAGTAGTAGTTGCCGCGTAGCTCTAAAGTAAACAGTTCGCCGGCAGGACATGCTGAGACATTTCTTTGACAAATCGTCTGTTCTTTTTTTTTTTTTTTGTCCAATTCAAATGCTTCTTTTGATATTCTTCAAAATCTTTTGAAGAAAAACGGAAATAAGCTAAAATAAGTTCAGGAAATGAAATCTCAACACAGGCAAAATGTATTTAGGCGGTATGTTTTCTTCGTTTCCATTTAGGAGAACAAAATGAACAACATGATGAACATGAGTTCGTTTGATTATCTGTGGTAATTTTCAGCCTATGAATAAAAATCAAAATGCAAAATAAATTAAAAAAAAAAAGCACAACAAAATCATATTCATTAAAAAAAGAAAAAAAAAAAAAACTCCCACTCGCGCGAGCTATACAAGATAAGATAACTCAGCCAAACACATCACTATCGCGTATGCACTTATCTTAAAAGGCGACGAGGAAAAGACAGCTAAGCAGACAACTATTAAGATAGACGGACAGACAAATAGACAAATCGAAGATTTTCGTCGAGAAAGAGATAGAACGGAAGAGCGAAGGAAAGATAAGAGCGAGAAAGAAAAATAAAGAGAGAGAGAGAGAGAGAGAGAGAGAGAGAGAGAGAGACAGAATGAGAAATCGAGTCTCAAATGCATTGTGCAGGAAAGAAGAAACAAATATTAATGTTCGCGTTGCCAGTCCGTTTAAATGCTCTGTCAACTTGCATTAACAGTTTACAGTATGTTTACATAGTGCATTGTGTTTATATTGTGTATAAATAGCTGGATGATGTACAATGTGGAAGTATGAATGCATCGAATGCTTGCTTATATTTTATATAAATATATGCGGGTATAAATAAGTAAGTATATATATATGTATATATAATGCAACTCATGTGACAACGTTCGATGATTTGTGATTTCATTGTATGCTGAATGTGATGAGCAGTAGTAGTGAGTAATATTAACACAGTAAAGTGAAATAAAGTTTAAGCGTGCGGAGTGTGCAATTGTTGTATAGAGTATGAAACGCGTTTTATAATAAAAGTCATTGGTTGCCTTAACGAGAGCCGAAAGGGAGATTACTTTTCACTTACAAGCTGCTTATTGTGTTCGATGGGCTTCATTATCATCTTCTTCTATTAAAATTATTTTCAAACAACAGGTTTACAAGTATTGTCGTTTCTTTTTGCAATATTTTGTAAACAATAACCACAACAGCGATAATAATAATAATAACAATAATCATTGTATAATCAATCGTTTTTGTGTGTAACAGAGTGACTTCGTTAATACATATATCGGAAAAATGCAACAACAACGCCAACTAAAACGAATATCTCATAATAATGAAAAAAAAGAATTATATATTTTATAATAATAATTACATACTATTATAATCGTTTACCGTACTGTGTAACTTTGTCTATCTTTAGTCTTGATTAACTAAACTTAGCTTAAGGCGAGAGGATATAAAATAGTTTTGAATTCATTTTATTTAACTTTCATTTAAATTTCAAAATTACACACCAGCCACTCACGCATCCCACAAGCGGACGGATAGACAAACATTCCTAATTAAATTGATTTAAAATATTATGCAGATAAAGAACATTTGTATACAGTTTATCAGAACGCTCTTCTCTTTGATTACCGCTATTAATTATTTATTTATAATTTGAAGATAAAAATTTATTAATGATATTTAATGGGACTATAAAATTTTTTAAAAAGTCTTATAATTAGTTAGGGAATTAAAATTATATAAAAACATTTGTTATTGCATAGAACACCGCCCACCAATTGATGTCTATCTTAAAATTCAAAAATTCGAAATGCTTTGTACTCGTCTTAGAACGAATCGTGGATACCCATCATTTTCTATATGCACCAAAAATTCAAATTTCTAAACACATTTAACGAAAATCGCCCTTTAATGCATTCTATAAAAACACTAAACACATTTTCGTTGAGTATTCCGCATTAGCTATGCTATTACAGCGACTAATATTTTACTGGTATCGCTAAAAAGGAAAACATATTACATAATAAAAAGAAAAAAGTAGAAGAAGAAGAAAAAAGTTATATATTTTTGAATTGAAGACAGACCTCAATGCGTTACATTGCACGAGGAGATAAGATAAGTTAGAATAGGTCGCTGGCGCATTTCAAAGGAAACGTCGAAGTTTGTGTGTGTGTGTGTGTAGAGTATTTTGTAACTTCATAAAAACATTGCTGCTTAATCTATAATTTTGATTAATAATTTCAATTAACGGTAGATAACTTTATTATACTAAAGTCGTAGCTATTGTTTTTTTTTTTTCTTTTCTTTTCTTTTATTCGAGTAAATACTCTAAACGAATAAGAGTATCATGCTATGAGTATATATGCGCAAACTACATAATGGAAAATTTTCCTAAAAGATTTGCGGGTTAATTTAATTCTTTATACATCGACTTATTACTCTTGCTTACGCAAGCCAATAAATTTATTGAAGGACTCGAGGACTCTCTCGAATGCTGGACGGTACAATACCCATGATCGATCTATTCACCCTTTTATCGGACCGCAACAGGTCAAAAAATATTTCGTAATCTACAAACTTTTTCTCGCTATCCCAGATATGGATCTCAGCGATCTGCTTTCCTCTATCAAGCTTTTTCCATATCCAAGCGCCCAACAGTGATAAAAAGTCATTTTCCCTCCGATCAAGTCTTTTAATAACACTTTTCGTCTTATTCGTCTTGAAATTAGTGATCCATTGTCCGTTAACCACAGCACTGTACATGAAGGTCTAGCTGAACATCCTGGATATTTCAACGTTCCACGTACATAAATGCGAATTTTTTGTTTTTTTTTCCCACCTCTATCTGCACAATCCTTTTTGAGCGTAATGGCTGCGATAAAAATTAAAAAAGTGTCGGCTCAAAAGTTTTTGATTTGCATTCTCCTTATAAGTAATATCATCGTCTTTGTAGATTAACCGAAATGATGGTAACTTCAATACCATAAATAGACTTTAATTAGCTTTTCCTAGATCTATACATATATATATATATATATATATATCTATATATATCTATATTGAAGTTACCATCATTTCGGTTGATTTTATGGTTGACAATGTAAAGGAAGCTTAATTTAAAGAAAATCTCATCAACTGATCTCTAAGCGATCCTTATTTAAATTATGTAAAAGGAAAGTCATTCTCTTCCGCGCTACATGATGAATAATTTACCAATTCCTTTACGATATTCAGGTAAATGTGTTCGTAATGAAAAAAGTAAACTTAAAATTCTCTGGCATTCTTGCCTTTTATACAGAGACGCGTACGTAGCAAGACTTTTGTTCCTTTTTTTTGTGATTTTCTTCAAATTGTTATTGGAGCATTGTATTGTAGTGATTGCTGCTCTGGTATACCAAATGTGATGCGATGTCATAAAGACTATGGCAAGGATCACCAACGTCACAAGCTCTCAAGCTTAATGTCAATCCATTTTTGGCGGTTTCAAAGCCTCAAAAAATTCACAAAAAAAAAAAAAAAAAAAATGTAATTTTGAAAACTCTTTTTAAATATACCTTCGAACTAATCGAATAGAACGTTTTGGGAGATAATTGTAATTCCCTCAATAGAGGTAAAAAAAAGCTTGAAAAGGTTAAATTTTGTAATACGGTTATCATCATAATAGCTTTTCATCGGGTAAATAGTCAATTAAATGCAAAAATAATTGATGATTTATTAATTAAGCCCCACATACTCACGTATCAATTTTTTTTCTATTTCTTTCCTATGTAAACTTTTGACTACTTCGGGAATTTCAAGTGCATAGATTACTCAAAGGATTCCTGGGCGAAGAGAAGAAGAGAGAACTTAAAAAAGAAAAAAAAAAATAGGGAAAAAAGAAAAAAAAAAGGGGGAAAAAGGAAAAAGAAGAGAGAGAGAGTGAGAAATAAGAAACAAATAAACAGAGAGAGGAAGAAAGTGAGAGATAGAGAGAAAGAAAAAGAAGAAAGAAAGAAAGGAACTAGGAAAGAACTAGAATTATCGAGAGAGAGAGAGGGAGACAGAGAGAGAGAGAGAGAGGTGATAGAGAAAAAGAAGGAAAAAAGAGGTGCGCAAGAGTGAGAGAGTAAAATATATGAGTTTGTTTTTTTTTTGTAGGATTTTTGCTGGGTATTCCGAGCTGTCAGGAAAATGAAAAGAAAACCAACGTGCACGCAGCCATCTATGGGCGATAAGTGCAAAAACCAAACCTGATTATATTTCCATTTCTGCTTTGTTTAAACCATCATCATATTATATGTGTAGGGACATTGGGATCGTTTTAAGGCATATATATTATCAAGTGAAATATTAGTAAAAGGGGTTTATTTAATTTTTTAGTCTTTAGCGATCGGTGTTCGATGATCGATGTTCGTCGCCAACCACACTTTTTCTAACATCTTTGTTTTGATATTGAAAATTTCTGCATGCAAATGCGGTAGAAACGTGCTATTAAATTTTTTTTTTTTTTTTTTTTTTTCTTTATAATGGAAAACAAATTGTATCTGACAGATAAAAATGTGTTTCTGTTTTTCTAGATACATTTTTCTTTTTCGGTTATTTTTTTTTTTCTTCTTGCTTTAAAATTTTCTTTTAATAAGAAAATTTTTCATTTATTTTTAGTTTTATTATCTCTTCAAGCTTTCTAACGTTTTTACCACTGCTGCTGCTGCTGCTTTTGCGGTAAGTAGTAGTGAGGTGAGAGTTCTAAATACTTTCGCTATGTGCAAGTGAATATTTCTCTATTATTATTATTATTATTATTATTAGTGTTGTTATTGTTGTTGCTGTTGTTGTGTTTTTGTTGTTGTTGTTGTTGTTGTTATAGTAAAGCGCGCGTTTTGCAAAAGCAAACTTGCACTTATGCATATATTGTTTATTTACTTTTTCTCACACGCTTGCTTTACATATACTGATGATGATGAGCACAAAAACAACGAAAAAAACAACGAAAAAACGTTATCATGATTGTTAACAACCAAAGCAATAGTTATAATAACAACACATTCGTTTCATCATCATTACGATTGTCGTCACAGACAATTATCTTTTGAATATTGATGACGACCAAAAACATCATCATCATCATCATCATCATCATCGTTATCGCGATGAGGAGGGATTTTCGCTTTTAGTTTTTTGCTTACACTAGCACTAGCACGTGTGTGTGTTTGTTTATGGGTGTGTGGTGTGTAGATATATATATATATATAGTTTCATGTTATACTCAGAGTCTATGAGACGACTCTGACTGACAACGGCAACTGTATGTGAGTAAATATGTGTGCGGCCTGAACAGTTAGCTTTAGTTGGTGATGCAAGTCAAGTGCTATCTGTTGCCGCGACCAGACGTACGTCTAATACTATATAGTTACTCTCGTTATACTACAACCACAAGCGGTTATAGTAAATTATTAAAGTAAAAATAAAAAAAATAAAAAAATAAAAATAAATAAATAAAAAAAAAAAGCAAGGAAGAAAAAGAAAGAAAAGCAAGAAAATATTATTCCAACATTGAAAACACAGCAGACGTTGTGTTGCTTTATGATTTCGAAGACAACAAAAAAAAAAAAAAAAAAGAATATATATATATATATATAAATAAATAAATAAATAAACGAAAATAAAAATAATTAAAAAGTACGAGAAGTCAATATTGTTTTTATTAAATTAAAGCAAAATTATAAATAAAATAAAAATATAAATGTAAATAGAAAAATCCAAGTTTATAATATTTACTATCGATTATTAAAAGTTTTGTTTTGTTTTTTTTTTTTGAACAAAAAATTTGTAAAAGTTTTCTCTCGTCTCGTTGCTGTGACAAGTGCGTAATCGTATAATTTTGACGCAGTGTGAAATCGCTTATATATCTATTATTAGATAAAAAAGAAAAAGAATTCTGGGCTTCTTGTTTTTCGGTTAAACAATCAAAAAAAAAAAAAAAAAAAAAAAAGAAGAAGATAGTAATTTGAAGTAAACATGCTGGCCATCAAAGAATGCCTGATACGCGAGGGAGCTTTAAATCTTAGCCAAACCTCACGCAATAATAAAAGCAATGACAACGACAACAATAACGCCACCAGCAGCAGCAGTAGCATCTTTAATGCTCTCGCCTCTGCCACCAATACAGGTGAAAATAGTGCAAACTCCTGTCATACGCCTTATAATATGTATGACAACGATAATCGTCTTCCCTCTAAACTACTGGATAATCACAATCTGTCAAGTTAGTATCCAGTGCACATAACTCTTCATATACAAATGCATATAATTTTTCGTTTCATTTGTGAAAAGTTTTTCAAAAGTATTTTAAGTGCTTTTATTGTTGTTGTTGTGGTTTTATTTATTTATTTATTTATTTTTTTTTTTTTTGGTTTTCTTTACAAATATTTATGTATTTGTTCTACTTAAAACAATACAAAAAAGAAAAAATTTATACTATTCTTTTTTTTTTCTTTTTTTTTTTTTTTTTTTACTACTACAACTATGCAGTTATAAATAGAAACGCTTAGCACACTTTAAAAAACAGAGTATTTTGTTTAGTTTATTTTTAAAGTAAAAAACAAATTAATAGCACTTGAATTATTAGATAAAATGACCAAAAAAAAAACATTATGTTCACTTTAGCACGAAATCGCCTAAATACCCATTAAAACGAAAATAAAAAACAAAGTACTTAGCGTAATTCATATAAAAAAATCTTGCCCGACTTTATCTACTTTGTGGATTTTTTACGAGAAATTGCAGTTTTCTATAAGTTACGGTTTAATTAAATATCGTAAGGCTCGTCATTAATTTTGAGATATTGTTGTTGTCGTTTAGTTAAGTCGATTGGTTCAATAATCCCACGAGTCGTTCTATCATCTATCTCTATGCCCATCACAGAACTCTTGCCCTTTATCTACTCTATGTTAATCTGTTTGTCTGTCTGTTTGCTTCATTTGCTCGTCTGCCTGTGTGTCTCTCTACATTGCTTGTGCAATAAAACTAACATACAAAAAAAAATTGAGGAAAAGAATTTTTTTTTTTTTTTTTTTACCATTCCTAAGAATATTTGATGGAGTCAAGTTCTTGATATAGAATCATGTAAGTGACTATCATGGAATCCAATTTTCAAGCACTTTATTGAAAAAACGTGGCTTATTTTCAGCAATAACGCTAATGGATGGATAAGTTTTGTTTGCGTTACTTCAGTCCCCCGTATTCAAATAGATCGGTCAGGAGAAGAAGTCTTCCATCAGAAAACTCGTATTGCCCGCCCTTCTTATTGAAATCAAATTCTGTTTAGATCTTACTATGCGGGTCATAAAAAATTTACAATCGATATATAAAGCTCTGCTTTCATAGTGCTTGGTGGACTGTGTAATGTGGCTCGTAGCTTGTCCTTCGTATTGAAACCAAATCCTGTTTAGATCATTATCTTACTATGCGGGTCATAAAAAATTTACCATCGATACATAAAGCTCGGCTTTTCGTGGTAAAAAGATTTTCATTTAAAAAAAAAAAACGGAAATCAGTAAAAGTGCCTCACAAATATTCTGTGCCTTACCGACAGTTGTGTTCATTTACTTCGAAGCTTCCAGGTTAAAGAACAATACTCACCTTACCACTTACGTGAATGATTGTTTCAATAAAAAAATTTGAGTAATTTTCAAATTTTATTGAGTAAATCATTAAGTTAAGAGCAATGATAAAATAATTTTGATATATAAAATATGGGAGTAATGTTAACGAATGAAAGAAGAAATCATATAAGCCGCATATTGTGAACCTACTATTTCGTTCCGTACTTCTGATCGTTTGTGCGTCCCATTGTCCGCCTACTGCAATTTGCATGTTTGTCTGTCCGTCTGTTCCTATTGACTGGCATTAGTACAATAGTTATATCATTCTGTTTTTAGTATCAAGGAAGATAATGTAAATAAAATGAGAAAAGAAGAAAACAAAAAAAAAAAAAAAAACTCCACTTCGTTCAATGCATGTTTTTTTTTTTCACCTATAATTATTTAAAACATTTTGAAATTAATATCTCTAGAGAAAAAAAAAAAAAAATAAAAAAAATAAAAACAAAGATTTATAAATAAATAAAGGTTTTTAGTTTTTACTCAAAAATTTGTAATATAATCTATCGTGAAGTTAAGCTTTTATATAAGAAAGAAAGACAGAAAGAAAAGAAGAAAAGAAGAAAATGCATAGGTTTTCTTTTTATTTTTTATTTTTAATTTTTTTTTTTTTTTTTTTTTTTTATTTCTTTTCATTCGTCCCGTTATCTTTACTATAATTTTTCCTCATTTTTCTTTTTCTACTTTTCATATTTTCCATAAATGGAATCATTAGTGTCAGCGTTTTTTTTTTGTTTTCCGTCTTTTGTTGGTTGAAATACTCTTGAAGGGTTTTAGTGTTCAGTTCTTTTTCTTGGTTTTTTATTTTATAGTGGACAAAAAAGAAAAAACTGATGAGAAACGTTAAACCTTGAATTGTGACATCAAGTGCAATGTCCATGAGTATAATAATCAGATTCGGCTTTTTGTTTTTATACTTATTGTTATTATTATTATTATTATTATTACGGAGCTTAATGCATAAGTCATGTTACACATGAAATTTAATTTTTTTCTTTCCCTTTTCATATCCAACATCTCAGGGACGTATAGAGTTTACTTAGTTTAAGCGGGTGTCTTGGTTTAGTAAACGAGAATTGAAAAACTAATTTATATTTGAATGACTTAAGCATTTCGGACACGAGCTTCCCGCGAACCAAACAATTATTGTGAATTCTACAAATTAAATTCGGCTTGGATCGAATTTGCCATTATCAAGCACTATTGTACGGAAGATATTGGATGAGGAAGCGCTCTGTAGGTTTCAGGTTACGAGTTAATAAATGACATTTGGGTTTTGTTTATTTATTTATTTTTTTTTTGTTATAGTTAGTGAGTCTATGAAACGACTTATCCGAATTTTCATACATAATTTCATGAGAGTGGTAGAGCGAGAAAATATGTTCCTCAAGAGGCAGCGTGGCGATCGAAATCGATTTAGAAAGACAGACGCGTTGATTTTCATGCGGCGTTCCGTGCATTTCGCAAATGTAGCGCCACCGCTTCGAGAAATATAAAAACGTGAAAGCTACCAATTGAATGTTTAAAGAGTAAACAAGAAATTTTGGACTAAATCATTTTTATATTTATTACATAATCGTTTTAAGCGGAAGCTTAGGACATTTAGCGCTTAGTAAGCTTGTAATCACTTTACATAATTAAGATTTACTTAATTTTTGTTCTCTTTCCTTTCATCTCCTTTTGGTCGCCATTGTGACGATTGGTCATAAAAAAAAAACACCTAATCTACTATATATAATATAAAGCTTTTTTTTATCAATACAAGATATTAGTGCTTTAGATGGCACGTAACGCTGCCTGTCTCAAGTTTTTTAATCTGTTTCAGCGAATCGAATGTATATGGATCTAATGCATTGCATTAAGATGCTTACGCTTACATGGCATGTTACGTTAACATTGCTTTTTTTATACGATTTTGGTAGAATGTAATTCTTTTTTAATTTCAAAATAATGACATAAGTAAATGTTCGATATAAGCCAAACGCAATAATTTTGTTCCAAAATTCAATATTTATTTGGTTAATAATAGAAGAAGAAGAAGAAGAACAAAATAGAACCTTAAAA